TTTCCCGCAAATCAACGGCAACATATCTTGGAGGACCGCATCTCGAGACACCTTCTTCCTCATTCATCCGTCTGTTGCCGCAAGGCACCTCTGCCGCATAGCAGAGGATCTATCTCAACCGACTCCATATATACTTCGTATAATAGAGTATTACTAAATGCACTTTCTAGCTAGTCATACACCATATATAAGTTTTAAATCATAGTTGGTGCACTACTAAAACTAACCCCCAATATAATTAAAGTTGATACACCAGCTATTTCAAGAGGTTAAAGGATCAAACAAGCCCTTATATCATCTCTCCTAAATCTTAATTTGATCGTTGAACTAAAAAATTTCCAATTCATGTTCTGAAATTGATACAATAATTCAAACTAGCTTAAATGTTACAAGTAATGTTCTAGTCAGCGTTATAGTCATTTGGTAAGAAGCGAGCATCACATCTACATGACAACTTAAAGGGTCAAATAACCATTCAATTAACTCGAGCGAATTGTTCAGCTCACCCCTCAATCATAAAAACTTTGAAATTCAAACATTAAAATGGAAAATACAAGCAGAAAATGTAATACTAGTCAAAAATGTAAAATATATATAGACATTTATAAAAACATAAATCAGAAAGTTTCGTATTCGGTATTCCCTCTCTCTTTGCTATCTTTGCTTTTTCAGTTGTCCCAAAAAATTGTTGCTTTAAATTTTAATCAATTAATCAATTAATGGTTCCTATTAATTATTTCCCTTATCACTCCAGAAACCTCAACCACACAGATTTATTTTATTATTCTATGTGTCGGTCAAATTTGACAAAGTTTTAAGAGACAAAGAGAATAACATTTCACGGTAAAATCCAAAAATATAAATATAAAATGTAAATTAAAATAAAATTTATACTTTATAATTATATTTTATGTTTTTATTTTATATTAAATATTTTATACATTATCTCTTTGTTTTACTTTTATATATTTAATGATTACTCCCTCCGTCCTCTATTTAAGTTTTTACTTTCCTTTCTGGATGTCACAGACAAGTTCACAATTCCTTATTTGACAAACAAATTTACACCAAAACAGTGAAAACAATGTCAAACAGTGTCAAAGTAGTGCAAAACAGTGCACTCAACACTAAAATTTACCTCTCAGTAAATTTATTTCTTTAATATGTGTAAAGTCAAACTAGAAACTTAAATAAGGGACGGAGGAAGTATAAATTTACTTTATGTTTTATATTTGAAATTTTTGTTATCTAACATATTTCATGTTTTCATTTTTATATATACGGTATTAACTTATTATTATTTTATATTTTAATACTATAAGATTTATATTTTTATTTTATTTAATATTTTGTAATTTTAATATTCATTTCATACTTATTATATACGAAGTATATACTATATAACATTTTTAGTATATACCACTTTTTCCAATCCTCATTTTGTAAATAATTCCTTTTTAGCATTAATTAGGAAATAAACTCAAATATATACCCCCTCCGCCTTTTAAAATTTTTTCACCTTTGAATTCTTTTATCAACCATGTTCAACTTTGACCGGTTATATATTTTATAGGAATTTATTTATAATATAAAAAATGATATGAAATTTTCTTTGTTAAATATACTTTCATAACAGTATAAATATTTTCAACTTTCAAAATATTATACTAATCAAAATCATGGTCCAAACTTTATTACCGTTAACTTAAAAAGTCAAAGATGACAAAGTTCTAAGCGACGGGTGTAGTATATATGTGTATTTTCACTAGCACAAAAAGTATCTATTCTAGCATCCATTTTTAGCACCATATAAATTGCTACCTTATAGTATCTATTATAACATTATTGTACCAAAAAATGTTACAATAAAATGACAAATTACTACAATACATCTATTGTAATACCACTCGGATGCAGCATGCTAAAAAGGTTGCATTTGATTTGTTTGTTTTTTTGAAAATAAAGGGTTGAATTTGATATATTGTGCAGTGACATTTTTACACCTATTGCAACATTTTACATATGCAACAAAAGGTATACTTTGTTGCAGTGAATTTTATAGAAATTGATCAATATAGAATTCAAACATACACAAAGTTCAAAAGTAGACAAGGTATACTTTATTCCCCAAGTATGACTTATTTAGGCCCATCAAAATAATAAGTTGATTAAAAATTTCTAAACTAGGAGTGAATGAGTGCTATTTTGAAAGAAAAAAAAATTGATCTTATATATAAACTTTAATTTATCTTTGTTTTAGTCCTATTTACCAATTCTCTCTTTATTTTATACTCCTAATATTCTCCTTCATGTTCCAAAAAGGCTCTAATTTTCTAGTTTCACTATAAGCCTAATTGGTAGAACATGTTTTCGTGATAATAATGGTGTATAAACGAGCCCTTTTGTTAGACACATAATTAAGTTATGATCTCATGCGCTTAATTGTTTAATACTATGTAATATAGTCAACATAAGAGCCTATTTTGTAACAATGATATTGACTGGATTGGCTAATTTTGCTCAAATTGATGAAGTTATGGCTGAAATGACTAATTTATGAAAAAAAAAAATTAATTATATTTTATTAATAAAATAAATATTTTTATGAGAATAGCTAAAATAGTCTTCTACAATAACTTCAATTCAATATGTCAGATATACTCGTTACTAGATTCATGTTCGATTATTCAATAACTACTTGAATCTTTAATAATCATTAATAAATTTATAAAATTGCAGTCAAAACATTTAAGTTTTAAGTAGATATGCTCCCTCCGTATTTTAATGTTCACTACATTAGGTTAGACACGTTATTTAAGGAGTGAAGTAGTAGGAGTAGTGGATATATACAGTGTAGAAAAAGTAGGAGAACGTGTGTAAGAGTATGAAAGACAATAACTTATTCAGAAGTAGGGGTGTAATGAACGATACTCTTGAATCCAGATTGAACCATACATCACTATGTTTAAACTCGGCTTAAATAACTATTCAAACTCAAAATCTAGCTCGAGTTCGAAGCTTGTTAAGCTCGGACCATTAAATTAGATTCGAAATCAAGCTCGAACTTGAGTATATAATTCGAAAAAAGCTCGATTCGATAACAACTCTGAGCTAAACCTTGTACGTATAGTACTAATTTTTTACTGCTTAGTTCACCCAACCTCTCGATCCTAGATCCACCCCTGGGAGCAGGGGCGTAGCTAGGGGCCAACACTTGCCCGACCCATCCCAAATATAAAAAATATTTATACTTTTAGTGTAAAAAGTTTTGTGTAAAAAGTTTTCCAAAAAAAACTTTATACTGACCTAGTTCGGTACAGAGCTCTAGCTCCGCCCCTGCCTGGGAGGTAGTATAATTCATTTTACATATGTGTGAGTGAATGAGGGAGAGAATTCATAAAAACGCGTATTCATTTTGCATTTAGATATACCTGCTGGTGGCTCTTGTTGGATCCTTGAATGATCTTCTTTTGTCATGGCAGCTTCAATTGCTGTCATTTTACAATGAAGCTAAGCTAGTAACTTCAAAAAGTGTGGCTCTATAGAGTGGATCGCTTGGTGTAATTTATTTTGCTGCATCGTCGTAACAGGGGTATTTATACTAGAGCATGTGTTCTTTGATGGAAAAAGCTACTACGTGCATTCTTAGTTTTCATGGGGAAAGAATATTTTATTTGACCAAAATGTCTTTATATATGTATATATATGGTACTTTCCCATGAAAAGTAAATCAAAGTTTTTACTTTTTTAGAGCATCTCCATTCATGATCTTAAAATAAATTGTTTTTCTATGACACATCATTGACACATCATATTTATTAAATAAATTTTAAAAAATCTCAAATCTTAAAACTCTCCATCAACCATGATAATCAAATAATTTAGTTTTTCTAGACCATGCATTAAATGAAATTTAACTACAACCTAAAATAATCCGGGATTCAAATCTTGATACCGGATTATCTTTTTCAATAATCTCTCTAAATAATCTCTCACTCACAATGATAATCTTTAAAATAATCTTACACATCATCCAATTAAACTCTAAATAATCTAAACAATGTGGATGTCCTTATAAAAAGTGAACTTTTTATATGTATTATAAATGATCAAAAGTGGATGGATGAAAATGTCTCGATGCAATATTGCACGCCAGATGCTCGAAAATTGAAAGACTGCTTTTATTGGAGCTGAACTCTCTCAACATATATGAAAATTTGTCTCGTAGAAGTCAATATTCGGAAAACTCATTTCTTTCTTAGTTGCAACATCACAACTGAGATATGAAAATGTTTTACATCGTCACAATTGATGCATCAATAATTCTACTTTTACATTGTCATGAAAAATTGTCCCGAAGGAGCCAATATTTGGGAAACTCATTTTTTCTATCTTAGTTGTATCGTCACAACTGATGTATGACAAATTATACGGTTACATTGTGCAAAAAACTCATTTAAACCTAAAATTATTCATGCATCAATTGTGACAACAGAATAACCCGACTAATAGGTTCACTCTTCTTTGTCATGTCATTCAAAAAGTATTTAATTTCATTTTATAAGGTTTTTAATACATATTTTAAAAATGCGAATAATTAATTTTATATTGTTTTAACTCTCATATTAGCCTCAAAGTATTATAAAATGATAAGTTTAAATGTGTCTATTAGATTTATGCAATCGATAATAAAAAATTCTAAGTAGAGTTGTTTCGGAGTTAGAGGGAAAAACAAAATATTTCATATTTGCAGGGACTAAGACCATATTTAAATCATAATTCTACTTTAATTTTACTTTGTCATGTTTAGTTTCATGTTCCAAAAAGCTGAATCATCAACCTCCAACCCAACAAGGCATTTAGAAGGGTGCAAGTCACAGTGACTCAGTCTACCCAATGGTGGTAGACTATGTACCCGTACGCAACAAAGGTCCAATCTAACACACGAGTTGTAACTTCCACATGACCATTGCGGGTTTGATCCTTGCAATTGATCGGTGTTAATTCTAACTTTCTCACCACTGCAAGGTAGACTTCTCGCACGTAGTCAAATATACATACTTTGTATATTTTTAAAATTAATGAATATTATGAAACGTGTATCAATTTCAAGTTTAGATTGTGCTAAATCACGAAATCATAACTTTTAACTCATAATGAATGATGAGTCATATTATATCAAATTTAAAATGCTTTAATGCTCTACATTTTCATATTTTCATGACCTAAAGACCCATTCTGGTATTTGAATATAGCTCGATTGTATCAAAGACTCAATTGTAATTCCTTATTACGAATTGAACCTGGTCAATAGCTCCATTTCAAGTCATAACTTTAATATATCAATAAACTCAATTGTAATCCCTTAATACGGAAATAACTAGAAGTGAAGAAGTGTCTTCGGCTTCCTAAAGACCCATTCTCTTATAGTCTTATTTGAATAATTCAAAGACTAAGAATTAAAGAACTTAGTTGAGTTATTACTCTTCATATGTTCTATTTGGAACCTTTTGTCAGGCTGACCTGCGTTGTGGAATCCTATCAATGTTAAAAAAAAAGGTACTACGATGGCAAGCCATCACCAAGGCATGTGGGATCGACTCATACCAGATTCCATGGGAAACATTTGAAACTGAGCTATTGACCAGGTTCAATTAGGGCCTATCAATGGAGAGAACTTTCACAAAACCCTTTCTCACGTCCGCTAGAAGGGACCCCCAATCGAGTAGCAGATGGAGTTTGAGTGCATAGAGAACAAGGTGGAAGGGTAGTCAGAAAAGGCTTAGTAGGGGCATTTATGGGCGGCCTTAACACCATCTCATACGCCATTTGTTTCTTCAAACCCAAGACTTTGATAGAAATTATTAATCTGGCAAGGCTGTGGTGATCAGTTGCAGAAAGAGAAAGGTGGAGTAGTCCCCACAACGCCCACTCCACCTCAGCTTCAACAATGGGGAACTTCGTTGTCTTCCCGCACCCTCTCCATTCCCTGGGGAAGTTGGACGTGACCAAATCTGGCGCAGATAGAAGTCTGGTCGTAGCAGAGCAATCTCTGACTGGAGAAAGAACGGGCTGAACGGGGCGTGGGCTAGCGATCTGGAGGCGGGGCTTCTGAATCCGAAAGAGGCTGCCGTGCGCAGGAAGCTTGAGTGGCTGCAACAGAAGTAGCGAATCTTCAGTTAGGAAACAGACACGCCTGGGAAATCAAAATCATAGCTACCCACATGGTCTGCAACTCGTTTTCAGGGTCGATCTAGGGGAGACCAAATTCACTGGAGGGGTTCAGAAGAATTCAAACACAATAGATGTGTCACAAGATATGGCAAAGCTCCTTCCATATAATCGGCTTTTTAGCTAGAGTGAAGAACTATAGGAGTTCAATTCAACAAAGTCGGGGATCAGACGCCACTAAACTAATTCAACAAAGTCGGGGATCAGACGCCACTAAACTTTAACTGTGTCTTGAAATGTCTTGTACAAAGTGTCCACACGATTCCAATGAAGTCCAGATATGTACAAAAAAAGTCTATTAAAATCTCATATGAACACAAATCTCAATATGTTTTAACATGTCCCAAATCAATACACCCCATATTGCTTATACTGGCATTATTGAACTATTGGGTTGGTTTCTACAATGATACTATCATAGAAGAATATTAGTGGCTACTGTATTGTAATTGGCACAAAAACTTCTTGGGGCTATACGAGTGCACACCGCTAACAATATGACCATTTTACTGTATTAACAGCTCAGCACATATTAGCATCCTACATGTTTTTTTACACAAATATTCTTACACAACTTACACAACTTATGAACTCTAGTTGCACTTTGGTTTTCTATAAGACCAACATTAGAGTATTGTTTGTTAATGTCATTTTTGTTGTGATGAGAAGACTGATAATCATAAACCATACTCACACTGTCACAAAATGACCTACTAAGAGGTTTCCTATTAGACTGGTAAACAAGCTAATGTTACATTTTGTAATAAAAACGCAGCTTAGGTTACATTCGGTTTGCATAGCTACATCTTAATACACAAGTGAAGAACTTTAATCGGGATAAACTATGCAGCTTAGAATTCAACCTCATTTTATCTTCTGGTGTTTACACAATTTTGATCGCCGTTGCTTAAACAAGTGAAGGTACAGTTTCAGCCATAAAACTGGATACAGGAGAAGCAGCACCTGCATTCAATTAAACAAGTAAATAAGTTTAACTTTTACACTTAAGTGACCATGACACCATACAATAGTACCGAGTAACTATTTATCATATTTTTTCAAATAAGTTTTATTTCAATAACAGTTTTGAAAAAAAATCTCAAAAAAAAACACTGCTTGAAATGAAATAATTGAATTGACATGGCAAATAATAAACAAATAAGAAGCTTCATGGAGCTTTACTTATCTTGAGCTATCCTGACATAAGCAACAAACATTAGCGGCGGCAGTAAGATTCTCTTCGAGTTTGCATTCTTATTTATAAATTAATTAACTAATGCTTGATAGCCTACAAGGGGCTGTTTGATTTTCTTTTGTATTTTAAAAGATCAAAACCAAACATACAAAGAGGGGATTTACTTTAAGTCAGCCTCAGCCGTATAATGTTTCTCATAATGACCCTCTCCAAAAAAGGTTTCTTACAATGAGGGTTATTTTACACTTACTCCAAGATAAGTGAATACCGTGGGTTATTTTGAAAAATGAAAGTATCACAAAAATGATGGTAGAAATTTCCTAGTATTATTAGTTCCTTAAGCAGATTTAATCCTTTCCCTGCCATTTCCCAGAATCAAACAAGACTAAGACAGTCAAAACCACAAAATAAGAACTTCCTTAGCATAATGAGGCAGAGGGAAATGGGGCGGTGTACATACCACAACAAAGTTATAATAGCTGAAAGGGAGGCGATCTGTATACAACTTTTTCTCTTTTATAACAGGAAGTGCTTGGTACATGAGCCACACTAGAGCACAACATAATGTAAACTCGTTTAGAACAATGAAATGGATCGTCAACATAATTAGCATATTTATACACAGGTGGTCTAAATTTCTAAAAGCTCAATTAGCACTTACTTTCACCGGGAGCAATTCCAATGGGATACAGTACGATAAAAGCAGTGTACCTATCCCAAAACGAAAAAGAAGTTATGGTGACAAATCAACACTCCTATTCTTCTAATGTATAAAGAGGGCATTTGGTAGACTAAAGAATCTATGATGCTTGTAGCAGAGAATAAATAAGCAGCTTTTGAATTACTTATTTGGCTGAAATGGGGGTTTACCAAATGTTTTATTGTTCAGAAAATTGACAAATTCAACCATATCGGCCAAATAATCCTACCAAATGGGCTCTAGATGATCAAACCTGATGAAAGTGACCCAATAGGGTGGCGTGCTAATGCAATTCAAGGCATAATGTGAATATCTTATAACCTGCATCAGACATCCCCAAAATAGGCATAGTATAACAATAAATTAGATATCAATGTGATTGTGTAAGAGAGTAAGGGACTTACTTCAGATAAGCTCCAAGCTAAAAAGGTAATGAAAACTGCTGGCAGTTCTTGGACCTAAAGCAAGAAACAGGTTGGAAGTAATAAGTGGAGAAATATATCAACAAGTAAATCATACCACATATTTAAACTATATGCAAAAAGATAATATCATCATGGAGATATGGATTGATTAAGGTATTGAGAAGTGATAATATAAGAGGTAACTGAAAACCTCATTGATGGAGCGAACGAGAGCTAGTAGGAAATGAATTCTTCCACCCCATTGCATCAATGGTAGTAGAACTCCACTAGGAACAATCCCTTCAACCTCAAACACAAATTATTAAATATAACCTGAGTCACATTTGTGTTAATTCAGCGAACACCATTTTGCCTTGTACTCCGTATTATACTTCAGATTTCTATTTTAAAGAGTCAACAAAGATACCAGGAACAATTCAAGACCTTATATAGTGGCAACTATCTTTTTATTTTGTGGCTTGATTCAAGTTAACCTGAAGATAGGTTTACTAATAATTTCAAGGATCTAAATGATGAAACTCATCAACTAACCACCCCAAACTATTGAAACTATGACGTTATTAAGACTAAAGTTTGACTCTTTTAAGTTTGTAATTACTCTGTTAATCTCGAATGAAAAATTAAAACGGATAACAAATACAAGTAAATTTTAATAATTTTTTAATGATGTACAAATCTCAATGAGTGATTTTTTCAAATCTTGTATTGATAGTTTTAAGAAATCCTTCCCAATTCCGGTGCTAAATTGATAGTTTTTTATGAAGGTCCTGAGAACTGAAAGCTAGAAACTGAGAAAGCATGACCAGAATATACCTAAAGCGCCATGTACGACTTCCAGGAATGCCAGACTTTGCAGATAACCTATGAAGAACAACATAAATCATGAATTTAATCAAATAGAATGACATAGAGTACTATCTAGGAACCACAGGGGGGAATGAAAAATGCGGATTTACATATAAGCTCTCCAGCAGAAGCATAGGCCCCATTGAAAGACTTTGTGGAAGCTAAGCTGTTGGAGATTCTCCAAAGTGAAACTGCCCTGCATATAGAAATATGTATAGATTTAGCTCAAAATGTTGATGAACTGTGAAGGTCCAGAAAGAGAGGGGCAGAAAGAAGGACTATTACCATCCAATGGCCTGAATGGAATTATAGAGGAAGAGGTAGCTGCTGCGCACTTGAGCGGACATTTGCTCCGGCGTGGATGGTATTGGAAGAAACAGCTGAACGATGGGTTCTGGGGTTTGTATGGCACCCGCCTCAAATCTGATGTTTTGGATTCAACGGCTGATAATTGAGATGAGTCGCATCTTGCTCCCGTAATTTTCTGCACTTTCAGAGGAGTTGGACGGCTGAGTAAAGTGAGAATGGTGATGGATGACTTAAAAAAAAAAGCTCAATTCGTACCCCCAATTCAAAAAAGAGAAATGCGTCGTGTACACGGCGTTTTACACGCCCGTGTACACGGTATATATACTTCCGCCAATTTTACTTCTTTCTCTTCAGTTTTACCGTCTCCCATCACACCCCCAATCCTCTCTCTCTTTTTCCTCTTTTCCCTACCGCACAAATCCTCCGCCCCTCCTTCTGGTTTTCTTCATCTCGCCTCCTACGTTTTTTGTTTTCTTCTCTTCTTCCCCTTTTACTTAATTGAGAATGAAATAGAAAGGGACATAAACATCAAACGTAGACACGATGAAGCAACAGCCTTTGCTAACGCTTTCCGCGGCGTGCCATTCCCACCGTCAAATTCGAAGGTGAGTCTTCATTCTTCAATTCAAACGCCAGTTCTTAGATTATCTTAATCACAAGTGTTTCTTTCTCTAAAAAAATGCACAAATTGCAAACTCCCAAATCAGCCCCAAATATAGAAACATAAACGTATTGTTTGTTTTAAGATGAAAATTTTATGAAAATGGTAAGTGTTGAAGGCAGATTGGGGGTTATGTTTAGGGTTATATTGGTTCGATTTTTTAAATTTATTTCGGATTTTTTTTTGCATTTATGGTTATATTTGTTCAATTTTTTTTTTAATTTGTATATACAATATATGTTGTTTGATGTTGAATGCTTATTACATTGTTATTAGTATGGCTTTGGGATGATTATAATTTTATTTTTATTCAACTATTGCATTTCACTTTTATGCCTATAAGGTGTTCATTGAAATGCTTCAATGAATTCTTTTGTTCATATCATGGTTTTTTTGTATTCCTCCTTTTGTGTTTATATGTTTCTTTGAAAATGGCAAGTGTTGAAGGCAGACTATGGATCAGCGCGTGGGATATTGAGGATCAGTGCGTGTACGCTAGTGACGTGGCTCACCGGACATGGTGGAGGCTTCATGACTCCATGGATGAGAGCTTGCGGGTTTCAGGATTAGCAGAGCAGAGGAAGATTGAATTGGAGTGGGATATGATTATAGGAATGTGGCTAGGAAATTGGGTTTACAAAATGAGCATTTGAACATTAATGTCACAGATCCTAGAACATTTAACTGATGTTTGTGCAATTTGATGTAACTCTTTTTGTTTCTTTTGGAGTTCTACTTTAGTTATGGTTTATATTTTCATTAACCTGGTTCACACAATATATTGCAGAGATGAGTAGCTTGGAGTTCAGTATATAGCATTTGTGGTTTCTTACATAACATTTTCATTCAGGCTATTTTAATAAACTACCACATCATTGTTGGGGTAAATTTAGAATAATCTCAAAAGTTCAAAATTCCTTATACAAATAATACGTTTATCTATGAGATGACAATTATTGTTTGCATCCATGCAATAATTGTTTGTGTCCATAAAATATTGTCTATGTGAAGAAGAAACTTACCTTAGCAAATATGCTTAAAAACGTATTATTATTGTCTCTAGCCAAATAATAGTTGTCTGTGTTAGCAAGAAATTTACCTTAACAAATGCATAAAGATTTACTTTTGTTTTCACAAGTGTTTGAATGCATCGTATATGTTACGAAAATGAATGTTACTTTGGTATAACTAAATTTGAAGCAGCTTTTTATTTGTGTATAGACACTTTCATTTCGTAACGTGAATTGTGTGTGTGACACCGACAAAAAGTTGTCCGTAACACCAAAAAAAATTGTGTATTCACTTTAAAAAATTGTGTATTCACTTTAAAGAATGAAAAATAATTATCTGGGCACAGACATAAATAACTTATTTTAACATATACTACCTCCGTCCCTTAAAACTTTGCCAAGTTTGACCGGCACGAGGATTAATAAAGTAAAAAATGTGTGGTTTATGTAGAGGAGAGAGAATTAAATGGAACCACAAATTCTTTACTTAAAAAAGAAAGTGGCAAAAGTTAGTGGGACATCCAAAAAAGGAAAGTTGGCAAGGTTTTAAGAGACGGAGGGAGTATCTCCTAAGGTAATAAAATTCTTCATACAAATAATTATTATTTGGACGCAAAATTTCCTTTCATGAGATGTCTACAAGGAGTAGACAACTATCAATAATTGCTTTTGTTGTGAAATATTGGAATATAAAGTTGTGTGAGAAAAAAAATCATTTTTAATTATTTGAAAAAGCGACCTTAACATGACATCTTACTCTTTTTACCACCACATATAATTGAACGTTCAATTCATACGAATTGCTTGGGCATGGTTATGAATTGTCCATGTCTAAGTTTATACTGTTTTTGCATGGTTGTAAGTTTATACTGTTTTCGCATGGTTGAAACTTTGTCTGTGTGTTCATTTATTTTGTCTGCGCATAAACAATAATTTATACAATGAATTGTCTGTGGCACCAATAAAAACTTGTCTGTGGCACAAATAGGGATGGACCCGGGCCGGGCCGGTTCCGGTTCCGGGCCGGGCCCGGGCGGGCTTTTTTTCGGGTTACATGGGCCCGGAACCGGCCCGGGTTGATACCGGGTCCGGGCCTAACCGGGCCGGGCCGGGCCGGGCCCGGTTCAATGTTTTTTTTTTTTTACTTTCTTGTTATCTCCCTACCCCCCCCCCCCCTCACCCCCATGCCCCAAACCTCCCTAAAACACCCAGCCCTACCCTAGGAAAAGAAAAAAAATTGAAAAAACCAAAAAAAAAAAAAAAAATGAACCGGGCCCGGCCCGAACCGCCCGGGCCGGTTCAACAAAAATAGGGCCCGGAACCGGCCCGCCCGACCCGCCAACACGGGCTAAAAGCCCGGAACCGGCCAACCGGGCCCGGTCCGGTCCGGGCCCGCACAGTAGCGGGCCGGTCCGGTTCCGGGCCGGTTCGGCCCGGCCCAGTCCATCCCTAGGCACAAACATTCTTCGTCTATGTCATAAACAATTCACTCTAAAAACGAAAACTACATGTTCATAATGAGTAATGACAACAACATAGTGTAAAAAATGATCACAAATCCATACTCATAACATGGCTGGTGTAAAAAACATAGTAATGAGTAATGACAACAACAAATATACTGTAATGTTCATAATGTTGTCGCCTAGCCATTGTTGCCTTTTCCCGACCAAACTGCAAGGAATAATGATAATTAAAACAAGTAGTAAGAGGACTAGGAATAAGAATTTGAGTAATAAATTTATTATAACTAGCCTAGCCTTGCTTAAATTTATGCAAGTGATCGTTGTTTCTATGGCATTCTTAAAGCAAATAGAGAGTTTGGGTTTAAATTTATTCATTACAACTAGTTTATCTTACTAAAAGTTTAAAACTTGTTTGCTTGTGATTTGAATATTCCTAAGAACTTAAAAAATTATTTGGCTACCTCAATCCTCTTGGACTTGGGCTGAGAAGGGAACTCCTCCACCACCACCATCAACCCCCCGTTCTCATACTTCGGAATGATGGCCGACAGGAAGCTCATCTTTCATCCTATAACAAAATATAGTTCTTCAGTATATGCTATAAAAAGGTTCACCAAATGTGCACAACAAATTTGTAAACAAAAAACAAGCAATTTACCAAAGCTCGTGGCCTTCTCCAAAATCTTAGATATGAACAAGGTGAATCCACTGAATCATTTCAAAAAAAATCTAATGAGCATAGGATAAAATACTATAGTTAATTGACATTAAGATAAAATCTGTTAACAAGTAAAAATTCAGAATTATAAAAACGCTGCATTGACATTTTAAGAAACACATCGAAGGCCTGCATATTAAATTAAGATTTGTTATAAATTAACTAAATAGAATTGTAAATAGAAATGAGCAAATACAGGATTATTTTGACAAGGAGGAAATGTTTTTTATTAAAACAAAAAGCTATGGCACCCCCATTGCATCCCAATAACATATACAAACATTGAAAAAATCATTGAGTCATTTTAACAAACATGTATTGGGCATAACATAATGAAACTAGTTCCACTAACATTTCAATAATTTACATCACAAACCTATAACAAAGGAACAAATTGACAAGAATTCTACATCATAAAATATTTAATTTACTTAAATCAGAAAGAAGAAAAAACAATATATAATCTTATATGAACATAAAAGTGAGTCGATTGTTAACCTAATAATCAAAGTTTAGAGACACAAAAATCTCCATGATGATGGTTAAAAGGAAATTCGAAGTTCAGTAGAAGTTTTAAAGAGGAGTTACAAATGAAGAAGAAAGAAAGGAGAAAGAAAAGGGATCTAAGAACTGGAGTTTGAATTGAAGACTCGCCTTCAAATTTGAGGATGGAGATGGTGAACCCCCAAAAATGTTAGCGCAGGCCATTGCTTCATGGTGTTGATGTGTATACCTTTGTTTCATATGGCTGTATCCTTTGATTTCATTATCAATAAACTAAAAAGGGAGGAAAAGAAGAAATCTAACAGACCAAGAGCGAGAGAAAGACGAGGCGAGAGGAAGAAGGATCCAGCTCCTCTGCCTTACTTAGGCAGCCAAGGAGGGTGCTTGGCCATTTTAAACCATCAGATCAAAATATCAATGGCTTAAAAAGAGTGAGTCCATTTTTGGCACAAATCTCTAGGGCTGAGTTTTAATCCCTGCCTTCTGTTTTAGTAAGTTACTCTGCCTTATGGCAGAGGATCTCTATCCGAGGAAGAAGAGGGGCTTGTGCGTTCGATTAGGGCAGAGGAGGAATTGGGGGTGGGGGGAGACGGGTAAAAAGAGAAAGGAAAAAGGTAAAAACGGAGGAGATATATATGCCCTGTACACGGGCGTGTAAAACGCCGTGTACACAGCGCATTTCTCTTCAAAAAAGTTTTAATTCACCTCCTGACCTCACCAAAACAATTCAAATCCCATATTTTGCAGATGAATTCCGATCATTTCCACGTCAACCGGTTAGATGTCAACTGTGCATCCCACGTAGAAATCTAAAGGGTCAAATAGACCTCTGAACTCGACAAAGTTGTTCAATTTACCCGACCAATATTTTTTAATGTGGATCGTTGCGCTTACCGCTACACTAAAAGTAATCGCTGATAGTGTAGCACGCCCCTCCCCATTTATAGCACATGTGAAGCGCCACACGGTTCGATTGCACCGGCAGGGTGGCTGTTGCTGGCATCGCATACCCGCGACCCAACATTTAACCAGCCAACTTGATTTACATCCCTGGACAATATAGGGCAGAGAACGTCGAAGTTGAGAGCTAAACTCTTTTCGCGCATACGAAACCTCAAAAATTAGTTCATGGATTGCCTCCACTTCGGTAAATACGCAACCGTTAAAGAGTGTCCAAATTGCCATTAAAAAATATAAATATAAATAATATACAAGTTCATAATATAAAATATATGAGTCTAATTATAATATGACAATAAATTATTTATATTTGGGTAAATTTAATATTTTAAATATTTATGAGTCTATTTATAATATGACAAAATATTAAAAATTTAATATTAATTTATAAAAAAATGTATGGTTGATTTTTTAAATGGATTTAAAATATCAATATATTTTTAATGAATTTTTTTTGTTTCTTTATGTGAATTTACCGCAAAAAATAAGGATAAATTTATATTTACAGTAAATTCATATAAAATAAACTAAAAGAAATGCATTAAAACTATTTTCATATTTTTAATATGTTTTAGATTTATATGTAAAATTACACACACATCCATATATGTATATATACTTCATATTATTTTATTCTATAATCATATACTACATACTATACTTCATACTAATCGTATGCATTATAAAAATATTGTACTATATAAAAATTATAATATGTAAATAGCTAGTTACTACTACATTTTTATAATATGTATTTAAAAAATAAGTACCTTCATTATGTTTATATATACACACACACAATACATATAATTTACCCTGAATTATAAAAAGTGTCTTATTATATTATAAATAGACATCTTTTTTTTTGCGAAAAAAAAGAAATTTTATTGATAACGGAAAAGGTACAATGCGAAAAAAGGAAAAGCATAACAAAAAAACAAAAAAGTGAGAAAACTAAATACAAAGATAGTCCCAAGGGAAGTCTCGGGATTGAGATCTTGTGGTCATTCTGTGTCGCCTTTTATTTTTCTGATTTTTCCTGTAAATTTTTAGGTGCGTGTTCAGGTTATCAGTTGACAGACAGTTATCTGAGTTTATGAAATTGGCCTTGCGGCAAATTTCCCTATTGAATTTAGACTTCCTTATTTCTTCCGGGTATGAAATAGGAGAGCGACAATTGCTTTCGGTCGCATGTCCCAAGAAGTCGTCTGTGAAGAAGGAGTCATCTGAATGATCAAAA